CATATCAATCTCTTTAGCGACTTATCTGAATACTACGATATGACATATTATTTAAAGTTCATTGTGTATACCTATGTCATGCAGAGCTTAATTTCTCTCTAACTAGGTGTGGTGTTACATACCGGCCTCAAAAGTAGATCATTGTTGCTATGAGAATGTCCAAAAGTCATGATGAAACGTCTGAGGAACATATTTTACTGGTAAATATGTGTAAAACCACATACCTATAATAATGATAAATAATAATTCGAGGTTCTTATATACCGATACCGGTTATAGGACCAATACCTTTCTCAGCATGCAGTCAGTGCCTCCATGTCGGCGCTCACAGCTATAGCAATAGCATTCAACAATTCTAGCACTGCCCAACCACTTACTCATTTACAGCTGAATCGACTGGAACAAGATACAACACAGTGCCGTGACGTGACTCGAACCCGCAACCCTTCGGTCACAAGACCGGCGGCCTACCACTAGACTACCGTGTCTCCAACAACCTATGACCATAAAAACCACTTAAACTTCATATAAAGTGTCCTTTCTTAATATTTATTGTTCTTATTAAAAAGCTGGACATGTTATAAACATTATCGCACATTTCAGCTTCAATGTTTATAACATGTCTAGCGCCTTCATAACATCACATAATTTTATTAAATGCCGATCATCTAAAGTTCATTTATCGAAGGTTAATTAGCGTTTGTTTCTGCTAAAATAAATTATGATGGTATTTTACTATGATTTAAGTGGTTATGCATTCATTCATATATTTATTTCCTCCAAAATAATGACGAATACAATGTGGATGAGTGCAAGTGACATGGTACAAAAAATGGTGCAGACAAAAATTGAGATATAATTGATATTAATATCATTTCATAATCACATCTTGAAAAAAGGTAAAGACACGTTATAAGTCAATAAAAATGGTTAAAGGAAGACTCATTGCAATGACTGCTGCATAATTAGCAAGATTTATTTGAAGGTTTTATAGAACGCTTTTTCCGCAAATATTAGGCAATATTTGATAAAAGACGTGAGCGATTTAACATAGTCATTAAGAGTATCACAAATAACATCGCTTGGAGCACCCAGCAGAGTAGCCACCTGGACGTCTCTGTCTGACTAGTCGAAGGACACGTAAACATACACAGGATATTTATTTTAAAAAATTGTCAAAAGAGAATCCCGCAGATTTGCCAATTTAAATTCGTCTCAGTCTAACAAACAATGGGCAACTGCGTCTTCAAAAGTACCCTTGCAATAAGCGCAATATAGTTCGCAATCAGGTGGAGCAATCCACGTTTTGGAAACAGTTTTGCAAGTTCCAATGAAAGGAGGATGACATTTTGAAAAGAACTAGACCACTGAAGGTTTCATTTCAGGATCAGGATGAAGATTTTTGAATCTCGAAAAATAAGACGAATGATTTAAACGAGTTTTCCAGTTATTTGATTCTTTACAAAGAAGAACATTTTTAACTAGATGTTTCCAACGTAACTGTGGAGGAAAATTACCCGACTTAAAGAATTCATTTAAAAAGTCATGGAAGTTTTACTTATACAGTATGTCAATTGCATCAACAATAAAACCCTTTTTAGCTTTATTTGCACCAAGGCGATATTGATACAATCGCAATAAAAACAGTTGTTTAGATGTACAATTAGTTTTGGTTCTACATAATGCCGCAAAAAAAACGAAGCTTGCATTGATCTATATATAAATGAAGCGATGACCTAATGCGATGTCAGATCTTGTCCTCAGGGGGAAATTTTGAATTAGTTTGGCACACAAGTGATGTACTGATTCCAGATGACGCCAACCTGCGTTTGTAAGTGAGTACCACAACTCACAGCCAAACATGCTTCGAGGGAGGACAATAGAGAGGTATAGTTTCACTCCTGTTTAAGGGTTGATGCTTGGGCCAAATAAATTACAATTCAAAAGAGCAAAACATTGACCACGTAATTTGTGGATAACTTCATCGACATCAGGGTGACCTGGTTTAAACTCATTCAGCGACGTCCCTGTCGCCTAAGTGCCACCTACGGTTCGACTGTGAGTGGTTACTAGGCCTAGTTCGTTCGTTAAAAACAATAATTACTGATTTGGAGGGGTTGTATCTAAACCTCCATTTACAGCTATACTGATAACATATATGCATGAGCAAATCTAAATTTTGTTTAGAAAAAGCTAGAAGACATATATTGTCTGCCTGTGTTAGGCAAGTAATGTTGATATCACAAATACTTAAGGAATATTGAGAATCACAAAGATCATTCAGGAGATCATTAATATAAACAGAATATAACCAAGGGGAGATAATACTACCCTGGCGGGTTCCCTGGCATATCTTGAACATTTTCGATACAAAGTTGTGATGAATAACAACACTAAACATATCTTTATACAAGGACATAATCACACATACATATTTCCGACTGAAACCCAAACGTGCGAGTTTGAGAAGCAGACCGTCATGCCACACACAGTCAAACGCTTTTGAAGCGTCTAAGAAACATGTAAACAACTTGCTATCATGCTCACTGGCATACTCAATGGCTTCAATGTCCAATGTATGAAGTCATGGTACTACTAACTTGTTTCTGGAGTCCATGTTGTAATGGATTCACGCAAAAAAGTTCTGAATTTCCTAATCTTGTCAGTAACAGTTTTTCATAAACTTTTAATATGACTGATAAAATCGAGATTGTTCTATAGCTATTTGGGTCATTCTTTGGTTTGTTATGACCTTTATATAATGTGCATATCAAGCCTTGTTTAAGAAAAGTTGGTACATATTCTAATTTTGCAAAAGCATTAAACAATGTGCATAAGCATTTATACAGTGAGTTGCAGGCATATATAAGGTTTTCATAAACAAGTGAATCTACACCGGGTGCCTTTCCATGAGGAAGACTTTTAAGAACATTTAATTTCCTCAGCCGTAAAAACTATCGCAGCTGAATCTTCCGATGGTTCATTACCTTGCAGAAAATCTGAAAGTTCAGATTTTACAACAGAGGTAAAATCACTGTCAAAACAACTATTATCTGAGTGAGAGTAAATTTCAGCCAAGTACTCCCCCCAGCGCAACGCTAAATCCGACGGATCTCTAACAGTTACATTATTAAACACCATTTCAGCTCCGGCAGATCCAGTGGACACTCTTTTAGACCGGGCTTTAATTAGAGACCAAAATGAATTTAAAATTAAATCTGCTGCGTCCTCAATATCTGAGTTCAGATTCAAAAGGTGTTCTTCTGATAATTGGCGGTGCTTACGACCGTTTTGCGTCCTTATACATCCGAAAAAATGGAGAATCGGGATCACGAGGCTGACCTTCGACATCCCAAATACACCTTAACCTCCACATCTCATGGTGTAGCTCTTTAAGTTCACCCTTCCAATAAGGCTTTAGGAATTTCCGGAACTTCCACTTTTGAAGGGAATTAAGCTAAAGAGACGTCTAGTAAGCATTTGATCAAGCGATCATTAAACATGTCAATGTCGGAGGAGAATTTTAACTCGAGAGAGTTGAAGTTTGACTTCACGATAAAACTATGAAGGTTCTCGTTATAAAGTGCTGTACCTGCAGAGGCGGAGCCATCAGGTGATGTCCATTTAAAAGTGACGCGTTCCATTTGAGGACTGTCAACTTGGGATACGGTAGGAAAGGATATATCACAAAATATGATTTTATTAAATGTCAATCATCTAAAGTTCATTTATCGATCAGGTTACTTAGCGTTTGTTTCTGCTAAAATAAATTATGAGGGTATTTTACTATGATTTAAGTGGTTATGCATGGCAACATCTAACTTAATTTGAGGAAGGAATTCCTCTCCATAGCTACATGTAGTAGAAGACAAAGAAAGCTCCGTTATCCTATTTACATTCGTTTTTTCCAAATGCGGGGGTAGTTTGGGGGACATCTGGAATGGCCGGCTCCCATTACAATTCGCACTTGCATTGTTCCTTTTATACCTCCATGTTGATGTATTGCCAAACTTGTTTATAAAATGTAAAATTCCGAACTTCGGCTGAAACTTACAGTACAATGCTTGACACATTGAATCTTATGCTCAAAGCAGGGACAGGCGAAACATCTAATCACGCGTAATTCTTTTTTGAGGAAGAAATTCCTCTCAACAGCTAGTAGAAGACAAATAAAGCTCCGCATGGCCTAGCCATATGAATGAACTTTAAATTATTGGTCATTTCTTAGCACTCACTGGGTCGCATTAGAGATTGACATGTTATAAGTCCGGTGAGCGATTTTATGACATCAGTCTTAATGCCTTACTTTTTACTACGTTAACCTGACTATGTATTTATTTCATAGTCCATGTTTAAGTTCAATATGTTCAAATTACATAATTATCTAAGTTTCGATTTTTAATTGCGGTCTTTGAATGCGACTTATCAGGGGTTTGGAATTTTAGGTGACTACAGCATCTATAAGGGGGCTGTATCAGTTTTATAAAAATTAAAGTTAATTTATTTTACAAGTTAGATACTTAAAAAAAAATCATGAAAAATAAAATCAGCATCCGAAGCAAGTACAATCGGGAACCGTCGGCACTTTCCGTAGACGAGAAAATAGTTTCTCGTTTACGGAAAGTGCCGATGGTTCCTGACTGAAGCAGGTATATGAGATGCACTAAAGTCTAATTAATTGTATACACACAACCTAATGCGCATTCGATGACTCTGTATCAGAAATAGTACATGTAATTGTATGTTCACTTTCAAATCAGATACATTGGTCAAACGGCGTTATATAATAAACAAACTCCAAAAAAAAATCAGTTCAATGAGTCAATTAGCGTTTGACATATAAGGTATCAAATGTAATTCGAAAATGTAAAAGGTATATTAAATGTTTGTATGATAAATATTACCATGTCATGATGACAATAATCATCACCACAATTGATGGGATTAGAAATCCGGATTGTCGCTTCCGTCTTACGTTATACTTATTAGTGTACATTTTGTGCGGGGCTACAATATGGCGACTTCCATGTGGTAGGAGAAAACAACGTGCTCGTAAAAAAAGACGGTTGTTTTGAGCGTCAATTTTTCTTTGTGTATGTAAGTAACCATAAGATAAAAATAGCAAATCGAGCACCCTCTTCTTGATCATTACTTCTAATCCAAGTTATTGGATTCACTTTGTGATGAAGCCCTGGTGTCGAGCTGTTGGGTATCGTCGATACTGTCTACTGAGTAGAGAAGAAGAGCTCTGATTGATTTCATTACTTTGGCCGAACTGTTCACCTCAGGAAAGAATTAAGAGAAAATTAAAAACCTTGGTCCGCTCTAACCAAACGTCATTTTTGTAATCGTTTTATGCCTATCATGTTGGCCACAACGACGCAAATGGGTTATAATCCTGCTTTTAGTAGCAGTAACCCATTTGAGTAACAATCTTATTACTGGAATAGGGAATTATGTGAAATGAAAACACGTTTAGACCTTTTATGCTTCCAATACACATCGAGCATTAGTGATGTAATGGGACATTCGTGGGGAGAGCCTGTCCAGCGTTGGTAGATGAAAGTGATCGTATAGTAATTTTGGTTTTCCCCAAAACTACCAACAAACTGACCTGCGGCAATCCCCAAGAATTTCCCACTGCATCCGTCTGTACAATCAGACACAGGTCCGTCAGATGTAGAGGAGTATCCGAGTCATAAACCAATCAACACGTACATTGATAACAGTAGTATATCATATAAGGCAGAACAAAACCTACAGTGTAGAGAAAAGAATGTCTGTTTAGTGAACCATATATGTTTATTACGTGGTAAAATAAGGCCTATATAGGTAACTATTCTCAGTGAAAACACCCCCTCCCGGATCACTGACCTACGTTAAGCTAACAAGCCTTAAGCTTATGCTAACGTTCCCTAACAGGGGTGTATTGCTTTCAGTATATCGATAGCACTGTTTTCAGCGCCTCAGTGGAGGGGTTTTCCCCTCCTGGTATATAGCCGCCATACCGACCACGCAACTCCACGATTTTGCCTGTGCATACCCTTTTATACCCCAGCCTCCTGGCCCTATGTAACAAGTATCGGACACCCATTCTGATTGGCTTAATCTATGACGTATGCACATGTACAGTGACTCTCCAAAATCCGGTCGTCTCAAAATAAAACACCCATGTAAACAAATAGACTGCACCAGTGATAGCCGTTACAAATGCCGATAGAATAGCCGTACAGTACCTTTAGTTACACTAGATAGGAGGGCAATAAAGGGAATCACATGGAAAACAGTGGATTCTATGCAGGGTTGTCTAACTATACTTAGCTCTTACACAATAGGGTGCATGACAATAACACTAACTAGGTTATCAACCTGTTTTCTCACATTCCTCCCTCCCCCATTAAGATCGAAGTACTTATTTACACAAAATATACCTTTGTCTAATCATAGCTACCCTATCTCCCCGGGGAGACTAGGAATATACACCAGCCTATACGCATACAGATATAGAAAATTTCAAAACTTGCAAGTTGCCATCAATAAAGCCCTCCACTTGACACCACAGTTATGATCGCGACAATCCAGACATTCTCATTAACTCACTACAGTCCTGCCAGATTCCTCACTGTAAAGCTGACCCGTATATTTTCTTTCTTTCCTAGAACTATCCCAGAGTGGAATAAATTGCCTCCTGACCTGGTAACTTCAGAATCTCTTGACACCTTTAACACCAAACTACACTCTCTAAACCATTACTATTTCATACACACGACTACACAACCTTCTTCTGCCATGCACACACTTACACGACCCTACATTAATATTGACATAATCTTGGCTATGCTTATAAGTAGGTCAATTATTCGGTAGACGTAGACGTAAGATTTTCGTTTGGAATGTCAAATTTCCCTTTCATATGTAAGTAACCATTAAGATAAATATAACAAATCGGGAATTCTCCTACTAAATCATTACTGCTAATCCAATTGACGTGTGCTTTCACTTTGTGGTGATGAAGCAGTGTCGAGTTGTTGAGTATCTACATATAGAGAAGAAGAGATCTACCTGATTTCATTACTTTGGCCAAATTGTTCTGGAAAAATTAACCTAATTTTTGTATTCGTTTTAAATATTCATTTTGAGTTTAAGGTTCACCCTAAATTTCAACGCCTTGATAAGTCATTTTTAAAGACCTAATTTAAAAATCGGAACTTACACATGTATTATGGTACAAAGCCGAGTTAACGTAGTCAGTAATAGTTTAGGCATTAAGGCTGAAGTCTTCATAAAAAAGAGCTCACCAGACTTATAACATGTCAATCTCTTTTGAGACCAAAGTGAATACTACAAAATGACATATTAATTAAAGTTTATTTATATAACTAGGTCTTGCAGACTCTTTAACTAGCTATGGAGAAACATCAAGGCATCAAAATCAGATGATTATTACATGCTATGGGAATGTACAAAAATCATAGTGAAAGGTCTGATTTGCATATTTTACTGGGATATATATATCTGTAAAACCAGAGACCTGTGACCATCAAAACTATTTTAACTTCAGATAAGTGCTATTTCTTAACATTCAATGTCGTTATAAAAAAGCTAGACATGTTATAAACATTATCACACTTTTCAGTTTCAATGTTTATAACGTGTCTAGCGCATTCATAACATCACATGCAGCTAGAGTGTTCTGAAATGATGGCACGTCATCCAAATTTCATGATCAAGGTAGCTTAGCCATTATTTTCTTATTCATATTCTGCTAAAATATATTACCAGGGGATTTTACTAGGATTTTAGTGATTTTGCATGGCAACAGCTATCTTGATTTGAGGTAGGTAGTATCTCCTCTAAACAGCTGCTAAAAGGAAAATTAATGCCTTATTTTTAGTTACTACGTAAACCTGCCTATAGCTATGAACCAATTGTTTTGTGAACCGCTTTGAGTCGCTCTACACACTAGGTTGTAAGAAAGCGGTATATAAGAACCTCAAATTATCATGATTATTATATTATAAAAGGAAAAGAGTTTAATATTGATAACTAGAGGTGTAACAAATCACCGATGAATCGTATCATGTCTTAGGTGCTGATGCATCGTGGCATTCGCCAATAGTATCATAATACTTTAAAAAATTACCATGCTACACAATTTAGAAGATAAACCACCTAAAACACTTATTAATTCAGCATTGAATACAAACCCTTAAGATTTTTTTCTTATCAAAATTTGTTTCAAATCCAGGAAAACTATGGTAAAAGGTTTGTACAGAAAATTATGACAAGTATCACAGTACGTATGGTGTTGTCACCCATGTATCATGATACGTATGGTGTTGTCACTCATGTATCATGATACGTATGGTGTTGTCACTCATGTATCGTTATATGTATGGTGTTGTCAACCATGTATCATGATACGTATGGTGTTGTCACCCATGTATCATGATCGTATGGTATTGTGATTTATGTAACGTGATACGTATCGTATCATCACAACCCTTGAGATACACAGCACTACTGATTACAACAAATATAAATACTTTAAACTAGCAGTTTTGTTGCAGGTACAACATGTGATGTCACTAAGTGGTACATGATGGGAGAGTTCCGAGTTCACCATATACGATTCTTTGAGTTCCAACCCAAGGCCATCCACTGTATCTCCTATAACAATGATGCGGAGAAGCTTGCAGTGTCTAGGTATAGAAATAGCGGCAGGCCCACTGTGTTAAGGTCCCTAAAATTGACCATTTTCAGCCAGTAATTTTGCTCAACTATTCCTATAGTGTAAGAGCTAATGATTTCATCTAAAAGAACAACTCAAAAGATGACATTTTGTTACCTAGGTATTATTTTTACATCTTTCATTTGTGTTTTGAGCATGCAGATTCTCCCCAATAGACATTTCAAAAGGTTGGCAATTATGAGGTATGAAAAATTGCTTGACAATATAATTTTTTCATAAATTCAGTGAAATCTATTATTTTCAACATGAAGACTTTGTGAACCCTATTTATATCACAATGTAATGTCATAAAGGATTTTTTTTAGGATGTGTGAAATTGCCATGGAACTTTTTGTTTTCTGTTTTAAAGATAAATATGTTTAGGGTTCCCCAGTTATCTACCCTGGACTCATTTGTCCTCAGTGCTGATGTTCTCATGGGGTTTTTTCAAACGGAAATTTATACATTACCAGTTAAAACCAAGCATAAAAGAACTTAAAAATGTTTTATAAGACATTTTAAGTAACTACGATCAAAATTGACTCTAAATTTTCGCGTACAGAAAACTTTCTGACTTACAGAAACCAACGCTATGTATAGGCTACTGTACTCCTTTATATTGTAAAGGCTGTCCACTAGAATAATATCATTATGATTTTCAGGTCTGACGGTACGTTAGAGCTATGGAGTTCTAAGGATCACTGGTTTCAGGAGAAGGTAGGAATTATGAGGAGCAGTATTTGCAAAAGAAGTCTTTTTTCAGTAGATTCATTTCACCTATGCCTATATTTTTTGCCAAAACTTCAGTGTGTACTATGTGTTAACTTATAGACAATACTGGGACCAAATGGTTTAGCTGGTTGAAGGTTCACAGAGTTCAGCGTTACAGAGAGGCTACAGTACTGGACTTCACTACCTGCTATACATTGTTATTTTGACCATTTTCATGGTGAGCTAGGGGTAGTACTAGTAATTTTGCCCAGTCAAGTTTTCACCCTTAACTGGTAAAATCCATATATAGTGTAGTGACTGTATGGTATGGTCATGATGTGTTTTGATATTCACTTTCATGATAAATTCGCCGTCATTGCAGTGGGCGAAATAGGCACAAGTTAACCAGCAGCAAAACTCTCCTGGTATACAGTAGTCAGTCTTCTGCTTATATTACATTTCTACATATTTTTGTTTATTTTTATTAATTTTCAATGATTTCGTGCAATTTACATTTCATAAATGTAAATCATCAATTGTTCTGACCATTTGTACAATCTTTACTAGGTAGGTCATATCCTCAGTTCTATATGTGATGGATTTCAGGTGATACCAGGGGTAGAAGGCAAGTCCATCGAGGCACTCTGCTGGCAGGGTGAGCGCCTGTTTACCGCTGGTCTGGACGGTTACATCACCGAGTACGATTTGCTGCGACTCCAACCTAAGGTACGACTTACAGGTGATACGGAACCAGTTGTTCGACAGTGATCTTCGAGGGAAACCATTAATTGCGTTGGTCCCAACATCTGGGGGAAATAATTTAAAAAGCTGATTGATAAATCATTGAACAATTGTTACCTCTTTGTGTAAATACATATTAAAACATTTTAACTGATTCCCTGGAAAAATTATGAGGAAAATATGATAAGCTGGCCAACAGTCAAACCTATCATAATGGGGCCTCAGGAAAATAGATTTGATTGTTGACTATCACGGCATGAACACACAGTGTCAGGATTTTGTGGCGTTATAAAGGGATTTGGCAATAAACAGAGGGAAAATTTATGTATAAAAAGAATTCTTAAGAAAAAGAGAAAAATGGACTGTGAAATATATTGGTGGTAAGCAAGATGGCAAATGCATCATGGGGCATTAAATACAGCATATACAAGTGCACTGAACAATGCCTATACTCGGAAAATGCCATACTCTGAAAAGACTACACAATATCAGAAAACAGGATACATGTGATTGTTTGTTTTCCAGGCCATTGCTACCTCTAATGCTGGGCCCGTCTGGTGCCTTACCTCAGATCCTACTGGCAAACTCCTAGCTGTAAGTATTAGAAGGTTACCAAACTCCTAGCTGAAGGTTACCAAACTCATAGCTGTAAGTATTAGAAGGTTACCACACTCCTAGCTGTAAGTACAGTTGTGGGATCGCACAACGTTACACGATGTGCGGTGTGCGCACGATGTGTGAACGGTGTGTGCACGATGGGCGGACGATAAAAAGCTGGACGATCATTGCTTGCGNCATTTCTTTGTCTGCACTGTCGTTATAACTTCTTTGCCCATACTGGTATATCTATTTAAGTAATACGCATCCAACCAACATTTGTTTGTTCGGATCCAGTGCAGATATTGGATCATACTGTCGTGATTACTTATGAGACCTATATAATAGTTATATATTATTAGCTCACCTGGCACGAAGTGCCAAGTGAGCTTATGCCGTGGCGCGGCGTCCGTCCGTCGTCTGGTGTCAATATTTTACTTTAAACGACTTCTTCTTAAAAACCGAAAGGCCTAGGGTGTCGATATTTGGTCAGAAGCAAACTGGGATGAAGGGCTACAAAGTTTGTTAAAATTAATGACCTTCACCCATTTTCAAGGTCACAGGGGTCAAATATGTTAAAAACTTTAAACATCTTCTTCTCGATAACCAAACTGCCCAGGGAGATGATATTTGGCCAGTAGCATGCTTGGGTGAAGGGCTACCAAGTTTGTTCAAATGAATGACCTTCAANATATACACAGTGTACATTATCGCATACAAGCCTTCCGTATTTTTGTCATTCCGTAATTTTGATCTACAAATGATACCAAATCGCACAGTTGTGCGGAGAGAAGCGCACAACGGGGCGAACGATTGCTAAATCGCACAGTTGTGCGCACCATGTGTGGACGATGTGCGGACGGTGTGTGAACGATGTATGCACGGTGTGCGCACGCTGTTTGTGGTGCGTTGTGCAGTCCTACAACTGTGTTAGAAGGTTACCAAACTCCTAGCTGTAAGTATTAGAAGGTTACCAAACGAGAACAAAGACCAAGGGTTTTAGCATATTTTAAATAAGTTACTTCTGTGCATGTATTTTGTATTGTATTATTGTTTCATGGTGCCTGTTTTTCTCTGTTTTATGTTGTGATATGTACATTTTCATGTTCCTGTCTTGATAAAGGGGCAGATTGCCCTGAAAATTTGACACATTTCTTTGTCTGCACTGTCGTTATACCTTCTTTGCCCATATACCTAATACGCATCCAACCAACATTTGTTCTTTCGGATCCAGTGCCTATATTTGATCATACAGTCGTGATTACTTATGAGACTTATATAATAGCTATATATTATATATAAAATCCCTTTACTGTGACATGGAGACTTAAGGCTATAAACTACCTAGCTGTGACATGGGTATGGAGAGTTTGGAGGGTCCCGGGTTCGAATTAATTATATATTATATATAAAATCTCTTCTTTGCTTTTGCCCGCAAAATGTTCATGTAGACTTGAGTTTTATTTTGAACTTTCTACACACAGATTTTTTTTAATTTTATGTTATTTTTGTTTGTTATTTAGATTGAAGTTTTGTCTTCTGTTGTAATTATTACTTATCTGCGATAGTAGTATTCTTTGAGGTTTAGTATTTGTCCAGATGTTGGATTCCAAATTAAATCAAAAGTCCTGTCAGGGTGAGTCAGCAGTGCTGCTGTCATTGTCAACCTCGACTTCAGTTTGGTTAATACTGTAACATACAATCAGGTATTATTAATCAGGGATAATCCGGGAAGGAGCCATGGGGCCATTGACCCCTCCATGTTCCAATTTTCTTTTAATTTTACATAGAATGGTCCCTCTTAATTTTGATATTGACTAAAATTTGCTGAAATGGCCCACTGCTCTCAAATTCCACGATTTTCCCTGATTAACTCAAGTTAATCATTAGCCTGAGTTTCCTCTGGCCCTGACACCAGACTTAGACATTTTGACAGATAGATGTCTGGCGTAGGGCCAGAGCGCACTGCTATACACTGACCTACAAAAATGGTGTTCGCTCTGATGGGAAATTTTGAACGATTGAAAACCGAAGACTCTACTGACGGAATTTAGCAGCTGTTGGTGATGATAAGAGCGGATTTGGATCAATAAATAATCCGTTTAACAATATATGTGAGGTCAGTGTTTTGTCATAGTTGATTTTGTTTGGTGTCGGAGAATTCCACGTTTTCATATAGCAATATATTCTGGCCCCACACCAGACATCTATCTGTCAAAATGTCTAAGTCTGGTGTCAGGGCCAGAGGAAACTCGGGCTAGTTTATCATAAATGCATCTTTGTAATACATGATTTAGGTAACAAAAAGTTATCATCACAGATGAGTCTACACCCTTTGTTTTGTGAATGTACTTATTGTTTTTTTTTTATCAGGCGGGAACAGAAGATGGCTGTGTGGTTATCTTTGACACAGAATACAACACTCTGGAGTTCAAGCGGTCCTTTGATAAACAAGACAGTAAGTTTAATTAATTCAGTCTGTTAAGAGTATTTGCCACTTTAGCGATTCCAAAAAACAGCCCAGGCATTATATTATCAAACAACCATGCATACATTCACAAACTTTTGCAAATATTATTGTCTGAAAATTCATATGTAGTTTATTTGGCAAGGGTAACACCATGCAAACACAACACACTTATACAGTGTAGTTAATTCATAGTAGAGAAGGCTGCTCTCAGCATCAGCTCGCCGAACAGTTTAGCATTGGAAAGACTCAAGTGCAAATATCTTAAGTGAAAGACAGAAATCCTTGAGTGTTATGGGGAAAACAGGCAATGATACGAGGAAAATTTGTGTCGGGTCTCCATATGAACATGTGTATTGTGTATTGGTAAACATTACTTCTGAACCTGTCAAACACATAGTATTGTGTGAACACTACCTCTCACCCAGTCGCACACAGTTGCCATTCGTTGGTTTCTGCTCTCGTGACATCTTGTGAATTTGGTTATGTATGATAATAACGTAAACATGGCTTCAACCCTGTAACTGGTGAGATAAGTAGCAGTTTGGGGAAAGGCTTCCCACGCTTATACACCACATAAACATAAGCCATTGAAATTTTAATTTTATCCTAATGTGTAATCAATCATGAAGATTATACAGCACATTAAATGCCAAGTGAACTTATATAAAAGAATTGGTTTCTTTTCCATGATGTATTTTATTTCTTGCTAAAAGATAAAACAGCAACAGCATGGTCAATACCTTAGAGAAGTAAGAGAAATTTATAAAACGCTTTCATTTTCCATTGAATTCCAGAATAATGTTCTTTTCAATAAATTAATATAATGTTGTGTGATGTGTACAGTATGATATATTAGTTGAACAGAGTTACTGTTCTTCGTGGTCAATCCCATCCACCTCACAATTAAGACGAACCTGCGCATGCTATTTAGACCGCTTTCTCTAACACCTTCATTGAGAAGTTTCACTATACATGATACATTTATCAAGCAGACATTCACTGTATATATCTAAAAAAATAAATTACAGGAATTTATTTCTTTTTAAACTTCTGTTTCATTTCAGATCGGATATTGTGCATAGCCTGGCACTCGGCGGGGGAAACCATAGTTACTGGCGGCATTGACAATATCCGACTCTGGAGTGTACGATCTGGCCATGCCTACCAGCGCCTCACGCTGGGACGGCAGGAGAAAAATAAGGAAACCATTGTATGGTGTCTTGCTATAACTAGGTATGTGTATAACTACCAACAGGTACAGTAACGTGTACTCATGCAAAACACACGAGTCACAATCTTAATTTATGAAACACCAATTAGGGTAACGTCATTATAGAACTTGTACAATTCTGTATACAAACTGTAAAGGTAGGTTATTTTGCAGGTGTGCATTTTTTACTAAAATGGACAAATTTGTGGTATTATTTTATTTTTTCACATATTTTAAAAAAAAAGTAAAAATTTGAAGTTGTTTGAAAAAGATTTTTTGTATTTGATCAGACAATCTGTCATCATTACGATATACCATGGCTTTCATGAAGCAGAATATAACTCATAGATCACAGGTAGGTAGGTAATTATGATTTTAATGATTACTGTATGCTGATGACGACATACTACAAATACTAAGACGATACAAGGTAAAGTCATATAATGCATTCAATTCTGTTCATTGTTCGTGGCAAAACTATTGCTGCAAATGTCAGATCTATACAAAATTATCGGCATGTACAACATCAACAATGTCCTGTATTTTGTTGCAGCGACATGACGATTGTGAGTGGAGATTCCCGGGGGAAAACCTCCTTTTGGAATGGGGAACAGGGCACCTTGATCAAAGTAAGGCAATCTGTCAACATTTTACACCACTAGAACTGTCTATGGTTTGGCCCCAAATTTCATCCATTATCAATCAAAATTAAGAAAAAAAATATTGAAAGGAACAATGAAAGTCACTGTTTAAGTTACTGGTAAAATTTGATTACTTACAAGATATGATTTATATAAAAATATCTATTTGTGTTTTCAGTTATGCCTGGTTGCCATGGTTACAAATTCAAATTTGCATAAACTAGAGATATATATATATATGTACTTAAACTTCAATCAATTTTGTCACATTTTCGGGTATTTTTGTGTTGCTATAAAACAAGAGAGTCATATATATGTACAAGAAACGATCGTTTTGACAGTAATTTCCACTGGGGATGTAATTTTACATTTTGAAATTGTTTTCTCTGCAAATATAGCAAAACAATACGTCGTTAGTGTATGAGAATACTTGTTTTGTTTCACATGTAGAAATGTGATGTTTTGTAGGCCTTCCTGAGCCACAAGGCGGATGTGTTCTGTTTGTGTGTTGACAAGGTAAGTTACGTGCAGTACACTGGGAAATGTTTGCCCAGTCAAACTTATAGCCTTCACTGGTAAAATTAGTGTATTTGCTATACATTAATTTAAATATTCACATGTAATTAGTATGTATCGTATAAATTGTGTCAATATTCACATGTAATTAGTATGTATCGTATATTATGTGTCAATATTCACATGTAATTAGTATGTATCGTATATTATGTGTCAATATTCACATGTAATTAGTATGTATCGTATATTATGTGTCAATATTCACATGTAATTAGTATGTATCGTATATTATGTGTCAATATTCACATGTAATTAGTATGTATCGTATATTATGTGTCAATATTCACATGTAATTAGTATGTATCGTATATTATGTGTCAATATTCACATGTAATTAGTATGTATCGTATATTATGTGTCAATATTCACATGTAATTAGTATGTATCGTATATTATGTGTCAATATTCACATGTAATTAGTATGTATCGTATATTATGTGTCAATATTCACATGTAATTAGTATGTATCGTATATTATGTGTCAATATTCACATGTAATTAGTATGTATCGTATATTATGTGTCAATATTCACATGTAATTAGTATGTATCTTATATTATGTGTCAATATTCACATGTAATTAGTATGTATCTTATATTATGTGTCAATATTCACATGTAATTAGTATGTATCTTATATTATGTGTCAATATTCACATGAAATTAATATGTATTGTATATTATGTGTCAGTATTCACATGTAATTAGTATGTATCGTATATTATGTGTCATTATTCACATGTAATTAGTATGCATCTTTATTATGTGTCAATATTCACATGTAATTAGTATGTATGGTATATTATGTGTCAATATTCACATGTAATTAGTATGTATCGTATATGATGTGTCAATATTCACATGTAATTAGTATGTATCGTTTATTATGTGTCAATATTCACATGTAATTAGTATGTATCGTATATTATGTATCAATATTCGCTATCGGGATAATTTCGTGGAACAATAAAGGTGAATGAGGTCGATGTTAAACTGCAGAGTAAAATCACCATTTCACAGTGGTGTTACCTGAAACGGACATAATTTTCTTTTGCCAAATCTAAATCATTCAAGGATGACAATGCCTATAGCCAGTAGTGTGTTTACAGATATCTCTGGCCTTGTGCAGTGTATTTTTTTACAATTTCTTATGATATCATAACATACTTCAGTTTATTATAGATATTTTATGTTTTCAGTCAGAGACTTCAGTACTGTCGTCCGGAGTGGACTCCACGGTTGTCCAGTTTGAATACACCTCCACACAGATGGAGAGTGACTGGAAGGTTTGGGTCAAGTCGCTGACTCACTTTAGACATACCCACGATGTGCGTGGCCTCGCCCTCGCCAATGATCACATTGTATCAGGGGGTCAGTATCATCAATTTTTTTGCCTTATCTTCTTGATTACTAATAACTGGGAAAGGTTCGCCCAGTCAAACTTTCACCCTTCGCCCATTAAATCAATTCACGCCCAATGTAAATCTTGCCCTTTACATTTCATTGCTATGCATATTATGCTGTTTAGCTTTATTCACTGTAATGATAAATTTGCCCTCATTGCGGAGGGCAAAAAATTAAACTGCAGGGAAATTTCCTGTTAAACAGTATTTCAGATCAATAATTCCCTTTTCCTTTCTTCCTTTCTTGCTCTTCCTTTGTTTTCCTTCCTCTTCTCTGTCTTCATTGTACTTTCTTTCCCTTGTGTTCGTCTTTCTCCTGCTTACAAAGTGATAAACCAAGTAAAATTGAATGTGTGTTTTAGGTGTGGATACTAACCTTATTGTGTACAGACTACAGTCTTTAAAGAAGAAAATATGGCGTAAGCTGGCCCCGGTCCCACACGTAAGTAGACTGGACAAGTTTTGAAATATTGAATTGACACCTGTTGGCATTGTTGAGCTTATTTCTGTTAAGGGTGTCAAAGGGACATGTATATTCACCCTCTAGTTTTATGCATATATGGCAGATTTTAATTGTTTATAGGATTTCGGTTGCCTTCTAGCTTTATGTTCGAGGAAATTTCCCTTTAGCTTGATCGGTAGACTAGCGTACTGGGAAGGTGGGTATGGCGAGTTCAGTCCCTGGTGGAAGCGCACTTCTCTCTTTCCAGTTACAAATGGTGTCCATGTGGTGACAGGGAGTTAGAACCTGGGCGTTGTGGGGTTTGAGGGGGAACACATTTAAAAAGGGGGGAGTAATGTGACTGATTTTAATTGCTCATAGCATTGTGGTTGCTTTCTATCTACAAGTAAGAGGGAATTTCCCTTTAGGTCAATCAGTTAAGCGGTGGATGGGGAAGAAAGGAGTTGGGAGTTCTGTCCCTAGTGGAAGCACACTACTCTCTTTCTTTTTACACATGTATAAGATAATTTCAAGATATATGAGTTTTATTTCTTCCAAAATCTATAACATAATCTTTGTAGAATTCCTGTATGGTTTTATACATTTTGAAAAAAAATCATCTTTCAAGTAAGAACATCGGACAAAAATAGTTATTGAAAATTACGTGGATCCTTTTGTGTATGATAATATAATACAATGCATGTTCTTTACTTTATATGAAAAAAGTTATGCTTGGTCATAATACCGGTAGTTGCCCTTCGTCAGTAGAATCCATATTTACCTGTTGTTAATTTCACCCAACACAGACGAAATACTTGTTATCTTCAGTAAACATTTTTCAGTAGTATTGTATACCTCTGGGTATTTCTACGACAGCTGCATCTGAAAACGTAACTATGATTTGTGGTACTGTTTTACAGCGGTCGATGGTACAAGTGGCCAGAGATGCGGAGTTGGTTGTTCTCAAGTACACCGACTACCTGGAGGTGTGGCGACTAGGATACACCAACAAAACATCGGGTATGTACGCAAGCTACCTGATGTATGGGCACACTAGGGCTGGGATACTGCAGTCCTCAGGAAATTGGCTTGCTGATGAGCTCCGAAGCAATCACATTTTTTTGCCCCCACCCCATGTTATGGGGGCATATGTTGTTTTTCATGTCTGTCCTGTCCCATTTCGTTGCAATTTATTGTCATGACTATACCAACTTCATTTGTTACCTGATTGCTATCAAAGTTGATACAATATCTCAGATGAGTTTGATGACAATAGCTTATTGTTTTGTGCAACTCTCAGGTTTTCAGTGTTTAACGGAAGTACACATGGATGCGAAATGCGTTTCTAAAACCTGGTCAAATCCAGAGAGAACAAGTATCATGGAGACAATGTATTAATCTATATAAGTACACCTGTGTTAACACACACACTAGGTATTTTTAAATGAAACATCTATAAAGTTGCATCTGTTTCAACAAATCCATCAGACTAAGGTTACTTAAGGATCCCTGGCCCACTGCTTTGCCGTTTTTCCCTATATACAGTTACCTCCCCTTAACTTCCATTTGGACATAACTGTAGTGCATTAGACTCTTACACTACTGTTGTCCAGGTTGCTCAATTGGTTTCCGCTATAGTATAACAATCTGAAGTCCAGTGTCAATTCCAGGTCTGGCCTACCACCAAGAACATGGTTGTTTATTTTATTTTGTTTATGTCATCTCTATTATGATTTCATAAAAGTCCTGCAAGACTTGATCAAAGCTATAGTCATGCCGGAAAATAAATTCTAAATGCATTGATTCATTTTTAACTCACCTGTCCGTCCGTCAACTTTTTTTGGAGCATCCTTGGGCCAAGAGGACTCAATTTTGTATAAACGGTGGGTATGCCCCCCCCNTGAATAAGGGAAATAGAGGTAAACCTTTAAATCCTTCTTCTACCATAGGGATTAAGGGATTTCATCCCAATTTGGTCTGGAGCATCCTTGGGACAAGGGTACTCAATTTTGTATAAACAGTGGGTGTGGCCCCCAGGGCAGAGGGGCAGGTCCAATAGGGGAAAAAAGAGGTAAAACCTTTGAAATCCATCTTCTACCATAGGGATTACAGGATTTTATCCTAATTTTGTCTCTATCAAGTAATCCAGAAGTGTTTGTTGCTATTAGGGTGTATTCATTAAATCAAGATGGCAGGCTGCTATTTTGGATTTTGACATTTGAAGTTTGTTCTCGCTATATCTCCAGAAATACTGGATTGATCTTTTTGAAATTGCATATGTACATACAGTACCTACCATAAAGTGCTATATCTTTACCTTATATCAAGTACTTTAAACATATCCGGTGAGCGATACAGGCCATCTGGGCCTCTTTTTGGTATGGGTATTCATAATCTTCCAATTTGTTTTTTCAGAAACCGACGGTGAGATCTTACCGTTACAGTCCAACCCATTAAATTTAGTTCAGTTAAAGAACAAATCGAGCGAGCCAATCATCTGCTTCGCAATCAGCTCCCACGGTAACGTGGTTGCCTTCTCCGATCAGGATTCAATACGGGCTTACAAACTAGTCATTGTAAGTATACATATATCCAAAACATAGTCCCTGTTTTTTGAAAATAATGATCGAAATTCTTCATTAGAACAGCCCCCTTCCCCAATGAAGTTAGGGGATGGGAGCAGATATATTAAAATAAGGATGTCTGTCTGTAAACACTGGTTTGTCGGGATCGATTCTCATAAATAGGGTTGTTACAATATACTTTACAAATGATTCAATATACATCACAATATTAATGCCACCATTTTGATTATTTTCAATTCATTAATAAATAAAATGATAATTGTAAATATAGCAGAACTGGACTGGGTCGATCATTGGCTGCAAAGTAGCTCAATTGATAGAGCACTCGTCCTGTTACAGTGGCGCCTGTGACCAACCCTTGTGGCGAGCATTTGGTGTATGCTTGGCAAGGGGATACCAGAACCTGGGTTGTAGATAGTTGTGTCCTTGTGGGTAAATGTTATTAACCCGAGTGACATGAACATTCATATAAACTGCAAAAACATGTAAAACTAATCTGAACACCTGTGACTTTTAGCTTTAGCTTATCATTGACACAATTAGAAAATTACTAAAATGCCATGGCATAAGCACTATATTGTTCAGAGTTTATTTATAAATCTAACATTTCTAAAACATAAAATCTGTTTTGATTCATAAACAAATTTCTTTGGTTCCAGAAAAACAAGGAGCTTATCAACCCTAGTGTTTCAATAAAGAAACTGAAGCTGTATATGACGGAGGATTCCACAGCACCGCTACCCGCCCATCACATGTTAGCGACGACCAACGGTGATACTATCGTCACAGCTACAGTGTGTGGAAGTATACAAGTACTCCGTGTAGAGGACAGCTATGTCAAGGTGGACCATGCTTTCTCCGGCTCAAAAGGTAGGAAATAGTTCAAAATCAGCTGAGTCAGAATCATCAGTAATGGTGACTGCTGTGACGATGAACCAGCAACTCAAATTCTCAGTTTGTTTCGCAAACATTATCCTCAATTTTGGCTTTAATGTTGAATGTTTGCCCAGGTGAGGAAGGAAATGGATTCTGTCCCCAGGCCAGGACATGCCAAAGCCCTTAAAAATCATAGTTGTTATTCCCTGCTTAACATTCAGCATTAAGGTAATGGCAACAACTGGTTCACATGTTGTCAGTATAACTTGACCGGGCGGAATGCTGTGCTGGGTGCCTTCGGTATGGTATTTCAGTGAGATAGCACTATAAAGTTGGCATCACAGATCTTTGCTTTCACAAGGAGGCTAAAACACCAACATACCCTACTCCCACCAAACATACACACATGTACGCATGCACGCATACACAACACACCTGGAGGCATTTCCGTAAATGACTAGCTGTTAATAGGACATTAAACCCTTTACAACCAACATCCTAATAATAATCCTCCATACAAAAACTCTTGCAAAGTCAACATAAAGCTCCTTATTTGTGTTATCATGCACTTTATTTTAATTAATTTAGTACAATGTAGAATAAAATAGGGTTTTACACAAGAAATATGCCTTGAGAAAGACTTCCTTATTTTGACCCAAATATCCCTTAACATAATGTAGAACTCAAAGATTTGGCTCTGGCATATAATCCATATATTCCAAAAGAGGATAACATTGTGCCTCTTTTTGATGTGTTTTTAGCAATTCACCCATGTTAGTTTGTAAGAATGCTGATGATAACCGTCTTAATCACATAACGATGAATCGATACAGTCAAAGTTTCTGATGTATTGGGTATTGTTTTAATTATTAATAAAAAAAAAATCAGTTATATTTTTTTTGTGATTATTCCTGATGATTTCCAGAAAATATCCCAAATATTGTGCTAAAATAAGAATAAATGTACCTGAAAATATTTTGGAGTGATCCTATAAAACATTAATACTGAAATGAGATTGCGATTACCAGAATTTTTTTAGTATCACTCAAATGTACTTAAGACACAAGCTGCTTTCATTCACTTGAACAAATATCACTGTTGCAGAACGGGTTGCCAGTATCACTGTGATGTGTATGTGTCCGGACGACCGGCTGGTTGCCGTTGGTGACAGTGGGAGGAATGTAACAATTTACGACATTATTAGAAAACAGGTTGGTATCTAGGACTTATTTTCTGAACCATTGAAGCACACTTCTCTCTTTCCTGTTACAAATGGAGTCTGTGGCCCTACCTGTAGTGACAGGGAGTTAGAACCTGGAGTGTTGAGGTGTTTGAGGGCGAACACGTTGAAAAAGGGAGGTATATTAGTGTGGCAGATTTTAAATGTACATAGCTATAGGATTACAGTCCCCTGCTAGCATCAAGCTAGAGGGACTTTCCCTTTAGCTCAGTGTGTCCGACACATACATTACACCGACAACAACACAAGGACTTAGGACAACTTGTGAACAGAAAGAACATTTACTGTGTGACTGTCCACAGTTTTCATAACTATTTTAGAATGAATAATTGTGGTATTAACAAAATATTGTTGAATCAAGAATTGCCTTAGATATACAAAGAGTTCAAATTAAAGTTGGGTGCAAAATATGAGATTTTATGTCATTTATTTTGTAGATTGTGTGTCGATTGCCACAGTACAGTTGCCAAGTGACTGCTTTGGCCTTCAGCTTATCTGGTAAAGAGCTGGTGATGACGTACGCTGACCAACTGGTATGTACTTTCAACTTTACAGTGTATTTAAAAGCATAAAAAGGCATCTTCTTAATATCATAACATTTTTTCAAAAGGATGATTTGTTGTTTAAATAATCTTACTTTTTGTGTCACCTGCAGCGTGAGGCGACATATTTGCGATAAGTCCAGTTTCCTTGGGCCAATTAACCTCAAAACTTCACACTGACTGTTATTCCATGGGATTGCCTGTCCATATTGGTTGCGTCATCCGAAACAAAGTTTCTGTGCGATAACTCGACGTTCCGTGTGTCAATCGAAGTCACCTTTGATATAAATAGATAATTTTCTTCATAATTAGAAACTGATTTTGTGTCATATTTAAAAAAATCTGAGAAGATAAAAATATGTTAATTATACTTATACTTTTACAGGTTTACGAATTTGACATAGCAGAGCAAGAATACTCAACATGGAGTAAAAATAATTCCACCAAATTTCCTAACCACTGGAAAAAGCGACATGGTAAAATCAATCATATGTTCTTCCACCTTGCGCACCCCAACAAAATATTCCTTCATGATGAGCAGATACTGTACGTACTGGACAAGACCAAGGTGTGTAAAATATTCCTTTATAATTTATCAGTTACATAATTATTTTATTGCCTTTTATTAAATCATAGATTATATCTACATTAGTTTTGGTTTATGGTTGAAACAAAAAAGAGAGAAATGTGTTTTTTAAATGCAGATTTGTATCTCTTTTTTTATGCCATATTTCCTATACCAGATGTTGAATGAATTTGAATTTTCATTTTTGAGTAGTTCAGTTATCTAGGATTACAAATATAACAATTAATTCTAAATCCCTGATCGGGCTGGAAATGACCCTTACCACCCCTTGTCCTTTGGTGTGTTGGTACATATTGGCAAGCGTCAGGCTAAGTTTGATTTATACTAGTTCATGTGTGTATAATTACAATTAACTAATGAGGCTAAACTCCTTTCTGATTGGTTAATTGGTTTCAGTGGACTAATTATAACTCTCCTAAAAATGGTTTGATTTCAACCAAATTTGTTGTGAATGTTCCAATGGCTGTGTTTGCTAACATCCACAACTCACAATGCATGTATATTTGATATATGTACAAACAGTACTTGCCAACCTTTTGAAATTGCTGTGGGGGAGATTACAAAAACATGGGATATAAATAAATTCCACAAACTAGCTTGTTAATGTCTTATCTTATTGTCTTTAGGTTGTATAAGTAAATCAATTGTCAATTGTTTCACATTTTTTCGTTGCAGCCATTTCCCAGTGAAGATTTGAAAATATGGAAGAAAGGGTCAGGAAAACAAGAGGCTGACAAGAGCACTCATCCCCTCAGCATCTGTAGGAAATACAAGGTACAGCATTTATCTAAGGTTTCAGGAATAGAATTTATTCTTCGTGGACAGGATTATCTTAGTATATGGTACCTCCCACATACTAATAGAATCTTTCCCAACCTGTTGGGGCAAGACAGAAAAATCTCATCCCAAGGGGTAAGATTACAAATACTACCCTACCGGTTGAGATTTTTCTGTCTTATTCCCAAATATGGGGAAGGATTGTTTTCCTCCCAGCTCAAATCCATGTAATGATGGCATTAAACACAAATACTGATTGCAAGGTTTGCAGCAGATCCGATGAGCTATATTCTGTGATCTGCTATTGATGACATGATGTAATGACTCCTGAAAATCGCATACAAGGGGTATCTTCTTGGATTAAAAATGTCAATAGTTATCTCCCTTCTCAAAATCTTAAAATATGTGTTCATACGCTCGGGCAATGTTAATCTGGTCAATTTCGATGGCAAATGAAGCGGGTAACATTTGGTAGTTGCATTGAGTCCAACTTGAGTAGAAATTGAAATATTAACGCATAACCAGAAGCTGCTCCTTGTATGTTTACCACACTGTGCCAATAAAGTGCAAGTCATTATTAATGATAAACCTTTTACTTTTCTTTTCTTTTTAGGAGTTTAATGCATATCCACATATTAATAGTTCTAATAGCACTGATTTTATTTGAATTAGTTACTTTTTTGTATACTGAAATATTATGATAATAAAAAAGTGTTATTGCCTTATATAATGCACAAATGTGTCGTTATTTAGTTCAGAGGAAAATAGGAATTCCCTGTCGTGAGGGAAGGAAAGAGAGTTATTCTCCTCATCAGAGATTTCCTTTTCACCCTCGTTGAACAGAAATGTTCCAGCCTCTGGTCTGAGGGAAAATGTTTCTATCTTACCCAAGGGAACAGACAAGGGGATTTCCCACTTATAAAAAATTGCATGACATCATGCAAACAATAAAAGATCGTGGAAAATAACTCATTAGATTTGCTGCAAAACCATCCAATCAACTTATTGTTTTTATTCTTCTGATCAAATGTGATTTTGAGGGAAATGGAGGAGAAAAGGATCGTTCGTATCTTACGGGTAGGAAATAGAAATCTCCCCCGAGGAGATTCGTGACTGTCTAAAACAAAGCTGCTTCATCCGAGGGTTTGACAGTCAAGAAAGAATCATCCCCATGGGTGAACATAAACTATACTTAAATGAACCAAAATGGACATTTGTGCCATTTATTTGACCTTAGACCTAATTTAAAGTAAAAAGGTCACACAGTGTCTGAGACAGTCGTACTGTAACACTTAGAATAACCCAAGCTTTAAGCCTGTATCAAAAGATACATCTTGGGATGTCAGAGTGTAGCATACTGAAAGTAGGTCACTGTGACTTTCATTTTGCAGGTAATACAAAAATAGTACTTTATATCATAAATGTACCTAAATTATTTGTTTGCTGTTATAGTTTATCCTGTACATTGACGCCCTGAAGGACGACTGGCTAGTTACAGTGGAAAGGCCTCCAGCTGCCATCAACGCCAGCCTACCTTCAACTCTCAAAGTGAAGAAATTTGGAACATGATCATCAGCAATAGTTGCAGCACTGATCTGGACTCTAACAACATGGCTTTGTCATTCTACTGTTGTAGATATAAGCTGTGTACTCGACCAATCAAACCTGGTCTCTAACTTATGTTGCGATAATTAAGTTGAACCCGATTGACTGTACAAGTGCAGGGCACATGTAAACGAAACCTTTCATGCTCAAACTTGTATTCTGCAGTGCTCAGGCAAAGTTCTGTGTCCTTGTGATGTCACACTATTTTGATATTTCAAGTAAGAATGTTGAGGCTGAATACAGTATGCAAGGAGCTTTTCATTGCGATTTAGCCTTCACCCTCATTAATCATCGCAAATTTATCTCAGCAACCATACATAGAAATTACATGTGAAGGGCGAAACTAACACTGGGTACATAAGGATTTTGAAAGTGAAGGGCAAAACTAACACTGGGTACATAAGGATTTTGAAAGTGAAGGGCGAATATTTGAATGGGCAAAAGTTTTACAGTTATACAGTTCCATTTTCAGTCTCTTGATTTCGCTGTTGCAAGTTAAGACATGCAGGTATAAGTACAGTATACATGTTTGTGCATGAGGACAGTTTCATGAACACAACCCCTGGTGTCTTGCGCTATCTTGGACTTTACTGGAGGTTGTGAAATTTAGTATGGACTGGAGACATTAAAGACACAAACATCAAGATACTAGGTTATGGCTCATTGTGTTTGAGCTTTTCACTCCGTCGTTATGTTGTTAACAATTTGATTAGATTACTTTCTTTAATACTTTAAAACATTTAGCTTAGTAAGGTGTTAGATCTAGATGAGTCTTTGTTCTAAGGCATCTGAAACTTGATCATCAATATGTGTTTAGTACATGGTATATAGAATGATGACTTCAATAAAATTGTTAATATACTCAGAGAATAAATGCCTTATTTTGAAATATGAAAATGGATGTTATTATGATTTATTAAGTAATTATAAGATGTTGACAGTTATGTGAAATGAGGTGTTATATAAGGTAGAGAGTCCCAGCTCTCTGTTTTGTTTCTGTAAGGAAGAAGAGTTCCGATTTGACCAGTCTTTTTGCAAATTTGAGTTGCTTGCCGATTTACCATAGCAAAGAGTTAAGTACAGAAGAAATTTATTTCTTTTGTAAAACCTTATTCACAAAAACATCTCCGCTCCACTAATGAAATAGTGAGCTTATCCACAACACTAACGGTCATTACCGTATTTATCTTACAATAAGCAAAGGGGGCCAACACATATTCTCTGACTGAAAGTAGGGGGAGGAGCTTATTACAGGACACCACATATTCTCTGACTGAAAGTAGGGGGAGGGGCTTATTACAGACAACACATAATCTCTGACTGACAGTAAGGGGGTGGGCTTATTACAGGACACCACATAATCTCTGACTGACAGTAAGTGGGTGGGCTTATTACAGGACACCACATAATCTTTGACTGACAGTAAGTGGGTGGGCTTATTACAGGACACCACATATTCTCTGACTGAAAGTAGGGGGAGGGGCTTATTCCAGACAACACATAATCTCTGACTGACAGTAGGGGCTGGGCTTATTACAGGACAACACATAATCTCTGACTGACAGTAAGGGGATGGGCTTATTACAGGACACCACATAATTTCTGACTGACAGTAGGGGGTGGGCTTATCACAGTACAACACATAATCTCTGACTGACAGTAGGGGTCTGGGCTTATTACAGGACAACACATAAACTCTGACTGACAGTAGGGGTTGGCTCATTACAGGACAACACATAATCTCTGACTGAAAGTAAGGGGGGGGCTTATTACAGGACACCACATAATCTCTGACTGTAAGTAGGGGGAGGAGCTTATTACAGGACAACATATAATCTGTGACTGAAAGTAGGTGGCTGAGCTTATTACAGGACAACATATAATCTGTGACTGAAAGTAGGTGGCTGAGCTTATTACAGGACAACATATAATCTGTGACTGAAAGTAGGTGGCTGAGCTTATTACAGGACAACATATAATCTGTGACTGAAAGTAGGTGGCTGAGCTTATTACAGGACAACATATAATCTCTGACTGAAAGTAGGGGGCTGGGCTTATTACAGGTCAACACATAATTTCTGACAGTAAGTAGTGGGCTTATTACAGGACAACACATAATCTCTGACTGAAAGAAGGGGGTTAGCTTATTACAGGACAACACATAATCTCTGACTGAAAGTAGGGGACTGGGCTTATTACAGGACAACACATAAACTCTGACTGACAGTAGGGGTTGGCTCATTACAGGACAACACATAATCTCTGACTGACAGTAAGGGGATGGGCTTATTACAGGACACCACATAATTTCTGACTGACAGTAGGGGGTGGGCTTATCACAGTACAACACATAATCTCTGACTGACAGTAGGGGCTGGGCTTATTACAGGACAACACATAAACTCTGACTGACAGTAGGGGTTGGCTCATTACAGGACAACACATAATCTCTGACTGAAAGAAGGGGGTTAGCTTATTACAGGACAACACATAATCTCTGACTGACAGTAAGGGGGTGGGCTTATTACAGGCCACCACATAATCTCTGACTGACAGTAGGGGTCTGGGCTTATTACAGGACACCACATAATCTTTGACTGACAGTAAGTGGGTGGGCTTATTACAGGACACCACATAATCTTTGACTGACAGTAAGTGGGTGGGCTTATTACAGGACACCACATATTCTCTGACTGAAAGTAGGGGGACTGGGCTTATTACAGGACAACACATAATCTCTGACTGAAAGTAGGGGACTGGGCTTATTACAGGACAACACATAAACTCTGACTGAAAGTAGGGGGTGGGCTTATTACAGGACAACACATAATCTCTGACTGAAAGAAGGGGGTTAGCTTATTACAGGACAACACATAATCTCTGACTGAAAGAAGGGGGTTAGCTTATTACAGGACAACACATAATCTCTGACTGACAGTAGGGGGCGGGGCTTATTACAGGACACCACATAATCTCTGGCTGACAGTAGGGGGCTGGGCTTATTACAGGACACCACATAATCTTTGACTGACAGTAAGTGGGTGGGCTTATTACAGGACACCACATATTCTCTGACTGAAAGTAGGGGGAGGGGCTTACTACAGACAACACATAATCTCTGACTGACATTAAGGGGGTGGGCTTATTACAGGACACCACATATTCTCTGACTGAAAGTAGGGGGACTGGGCTTATTACAGGACAACACATAATCTCTGACTGAAAGTAAGGGGTGGGCTTATTACAGGACACCACATAATCTCTGACTGAAAGTAGGGGGAGGGGCTTATTACAGGACACCACATAATCTCTGACTGACAGTAAGTGGGTGGGCTTATTACAGGACACCACATATTCTCTGACTGAAAGTAGGGGGAGGGGCTTATAACAGGACACCACATAATCTCTGACTGTAAGTAGGGGGAGGAGCTTATTACAGGACAACATATAATCTCTGACTGAAAGTAGGGGGCTGGGCTTATTACAGGACAACATATAATCTCTGACTGAAAGAAGGGGGCTAGGCCTATTACAGGACAACACATAATCTCTGACTGAAAGTAGGGGGCTGGGCTTATTACAGGTCAACACATAATTTCTGACAGTAAGGAGTGGGCTTATTACAGGACAACACATAATCTCTGACTGACAGTAGGGGGTTGGCTTATTACAGGACAACACATAATCTCTGACTGACAGTAGGGGGTGGGCTTATTACTGGACAAAGCAAAAGTTTTTGTTGGCATTTCTTCCTTACTGTAATATACATGTATATTGGTGGGCTTATTACCAAGCATGGGCTTATTGGCGGATAAATATGGGGGTAAAATTTGTTAACTGAATACTTTAATGCAACATGACATTACATTTTAAAATATTCTTGCTCCTTTAAAAAACATGCAACCTAAAATTATATGTTTAGATATAGAGAAAATAAGATTTTAATGGGAAAATCACTCTTCAATGCAGTAGTGAAGTGGACGGAATTTCTACATCAGGTGAAAGTACAGTACCAAGCCATTTTTATATGGAACCACACGCAGTTGAGACAAGCTTTGCTGTATATGGAGAATATTCTTTGTTTCCTGAAGAAAAAAAGTCCTATTTCAGGAGAATATTTTGATACTTTTCATGAGTAAAAGTGTTAAAGTGAAATATTCAACCCTGTTAAAGTGGAACATCCAACCCTGTTAAAGTAAAACATCCAATCCTGTTATAGTGAAAAATCCAACCCTGTTAAAGGGAAACATTCAACCCTGTTAAAGTAAAACATTTAACCCTGTTAAAGTGATACGTCCAACCCTGTTAAAGTAAAACATTCAACCCTATTTAAGTGAAACATCCAACCCTGTTAAAATGAAACACATCTATAACCGTTATTCATGAAAAACCAAGAAAACATCTATTATAATATATTTTCCTTGAGCACTGACATTTTCTTCTGTGAACAGATAACCTATCTCCTGCCAACACAAATGTGCAGACAAATACTGTGTTGCAATGTTACAACAGACAATAACAAAACATCCTGTCTACTGATGTCATAATTGACATTAAAAATTCTTTGTTATTTTTCACACCAAAGCCTGCTTTCTGATTGTTTGGTTTGGCATAAAAATAACAGTGTTGTTGGAGTAGAGATGTATCAATGTTATTGTCACCACTAGTACTGTTAAACCTGACATTTCACTTATAAATATGTTATACAATTCAAATATAGACCCCAAGTGATAAAATCAGTTCTTGTCTGTAGTACATATATACATGTATATCCTAGCTGTCATCAGTCATAAGAAAAAATAAAATGAATTTGTTGAATTGAAAAGTGTTTTTCTTTTGTTATTGAATTGTCGACATGTACAGCAATGCAACCCCAATCAGGTTATGGGTACAAGTAGTTTTGCTGAAAACTTTGTTCTGATTCAAAGACATCTTGTACCATTATTGACTGTCATTCTATTTTTTATGAAACTCACCATCATCATATGATAGGCAGTTCAAATAATTTTTAGCTCACCTGCCCAAAGGGCAATCCGGTGTCCGTCGTCCGCCAACTTTTCCTTTATACAACTTCTTCTGAAGAACGGGCAGGCCTAGAGTCATGATATTTGTCTGAAAGCTTCCTTGGTAGGAGCCCAACAAAGTTTGAGAATGAAAATGTCCTTGACTTCCTTTCAAGGTCACAGGGGTCAAATATGTCAAACTCTTTAAACGACTTCTCCTGAAGAACAGAACGGTATAGAATCTATATATTTTGCTGGTGGCTTCCTGGGATAGAGCCTGATAAGGTTTGCGAATGAAAATGACCTTGACCTGCTTCCAAGGTCACAGGGGTCAATTATGTCAAACGCTTCAAACAACTTCTCCTGAAGAACTAAAGGGTATATAACCTTCATATTTGGCTGATGGCTTCCTGGGATAGAGCCTGACAAAGTTTGGGAATGAAAATGACTGACCTACTTTCAAGGTCACAGTGATCAAATATGTCAAACTCTTTAAAAGACTTCTTTTAAAGAACCAAAAGGTATAGAATCTTTATATTTGGCTGCTGGATTCCTGGGATAGAGCCTGACAAAGTTTGAGAATGAAAATGATTTTGACCTGCTTTCAAGGTCACAGGAGTTAAATATGTCAAACTCTTTAAAACACTTCTCCTGAAGAACCAAATGGTAAAGAATCATTATATTTGGCTGGTGGCTTCCTGTGATACAGCCCGACAAAGTTTGAGAATGAAAATGACCTTGACTGGTTTACAAGGTCACAGGAGTCAAATACGTCAAACTCTTTAAACAACTTCTTCTGAAGAACCAAAAGGTATAGAATCTTTATATTTGGCTAGTGGCTTTCTGGGATAGAGCCCGACAAAGTTTGAGAATGAAAATGACTTTGACCGCCTCTCAAGGTCATAGCAGTCAAATATGTCAAACACTTCAAACGACTTCTTCTGAAGAACTAAAAGGAATATAATCTTCAAAATTGGCTGGTGGCTTCCTTGGATAGAGCCTGACGAAGTTTGACATGAAAATAACCTTGTATTTACTTTCAAGGTCACAGCGGTCAAATATGCCAAAATCTTTCAACGACTTCTGAAAAACCAAAAGGTGTAGAACCTTCATATTTGGCTTGGGGCTTCGTGAGATATAGCCTGACAAAGTTTGAGAATGAAAATGACTGACCTTCTTCTGAAAAATTGAAAGGCATAAAATTATGATATTTGAAGAAGAACGATGGCCAAAAAGCATAAAATCTGATAATGATATTTGACTGATAGTTTCAACAGATGGAGCCGACAAAGTTTGCGAGTAACAAATGTGTAGTACAATATAATATTTAATGAGA